GTTCTTCCCAAACCAAGCTTTTAAGCCCAGGCTAAAATAGCCAAAAAAGCCAAAAAGCCAAAAAGCCAACCCACTTCCCAAACGGAGGCTGATTCTATTCTAATAGTTTAAATTATTAAAATTTTAATTTTTTATGTGTAAATTATATATATATATATATATCAGATAGATTATTGTAAATTTTACATTTATTACCTATTTTTTTAACAACAAATGTGAACAAATTATATGATTTTTTTTTTTTTTTTTTTTTTTTTTTTGTGTGTGTGTGTTGGGTTTGGAATGGTGAGCGGGGTGAATCCCTGATATGAATAAAACAAGTATGTTTTTGCAAACTCGAATGAGAGGTGTGGTAATGTAGAAAAATCAAGTGTTGTTTTTTTTTTTTTTTTTTTTTTTTTGGTGGTGAAAATAAGAAGAATAATAATAAATAAAAGGAAGGGGTGGAAGATAGGGGAATCAATGAAGGCTAGTATAATATATTGGAGTGGGAAAAGAATGATGGGAATGTTGAGTATATAATAAAAAATGGGTATTTGAAAGAGATTAAAAAAGGGATTTAGAGAAAATAAATAAAAATAATAGATTTAAAAATTAAACGGAAGAAAGAGTTAGGACAAGCCCACGTGGGTGGCTTTGGTTTGTTTTTTTTGTTTTTTTTTAAATAAAATAAAATAATAAAATAAAGTAAGTGTCATAAAAGGGATGCACATGGTTCTGAGGTGGTTCATAATAAGAATAAGAATAAGAATAAACGGAAGTGGGAATAAAAGGGAAATATCGTGGGGGGCATGTGGGGGCATATGGGTTGATTATGAGAGAGAGAGAGAGAGACCGGAGAAGACTTCTGCTTCATCTCCTTTCCCATCTGCCTCCACCTTCAGATTATCCTCAACTAAGCCATCCATTTCCCTCGTTCACAGCTCCTAATCGGAGGACCCTCTCAGACGAAGCTGAGACTCCCAAATGGAGACTGGAGTTGACGATGATCATCATCAAAGATCATAGATCTATTATACCTTAGGGCCGTCCGATCAACGCCGTTTTCCGACACCGAGGAGAAATTGAGACGACAATGGCGCATGGGGTTGCTGTGAAGTGGGTTTAGAGACAGGTCTTTGGAGAGAACAGGGGTGGTGGAAGAGTTGGGATCGGGTACAGGTGGAGAGGTGCGGAAATGGAGGACCCGGGTGATGGAGCCATCGGGGTTTCGGATCACAGGGATGAAAGTTAAAGGTTTTCTTGTTGAATCTGTGGCTTCCATTGCAAGAGAATGTGGCAACTCGTGGAATGACGCTCCCATCTCTGTGCTGATTCCGATGTCTGCAGGGTTCCTTGATGCAGGAACTTTAAGCGGAGAAGGCTTGGAGAGCCGATGTGTTCTTCTTGCGGAGAGCACGGAGGCGCTTGTGGATGAAGCTGAGAACTGGTCCGTCGGTCACGTCCGAAGGTTTGGAGGTTTTGCTTGGGCGAGGTATGTGAAAAAAAAAACAAAAACAAAAAAAAAACGTAGCGGACTAGGTTGAGGTCCGGCGGGCGGCTAAGGTGAGGTTGCCGCCCGCCGGGAAGCGAAAATACTAGTGAAAATACTAGGTTCTAAACCTGCTCTGATACCATGTAAAATAAACTGATGTATTATTGATTGATATCTAATTATACTGTCTATTACAAATGGTTCCTTATATAGATGTAGGTGTAGTGGAGTAGGTGGTGGTAGGTGAGGAGTAGGTGAGTGTAGTAGGTGAGTGTGTGGTAGGAGATGGTAAGTGTGTGGTAGGTGATGGTAAATTTTAACAATAATTTTGCCAGATTTTCTATTGTATATACTGAGTCATTCTTCTGAAAGGATATCAACAAGATGCTCCTAACACAAGAATAACTGGTTTGAAGAAGCAAAGAAGCTCTCTATATCTATTGAACCAATCAAGCCTAGGAGAGAAGGGGGGGGCAGAGAAATAGCTCCATCACAAAAGTGGTCTTTCACAACCACAAGTTCAAAACAATTGTTCAAGTTGACATAATTATAGTCAATGCACAAAATAAGGCTCCATTGAAAGATGAGTCATGGAAAAAAAGAAAACCTACATTGTTGCACTAAACAAGGAGCTCTCAACAATTGTATCACCTGTTCTTTCCAGATTTAACCTCACTTCCAAGTTAGAGCCACTTTCCTTGACAAAAGTATCCAACATAAGCACCACAAGTTAACTAAGCTAAAATGTGAGATCAGGAACTGGGATTCTGTAGCCCGATTTCATTGAGGCATCTACTTCACCTCCAATACATGGCTCTTTCCGAGGTTTATTTTTGAAGCCAGCTAACCACAAAGAACACCATATTTGCATTGTCACCAAATTGGCCATATATTTTAACACTTGATATGTCCTTTCCATGCTCTGTTCTACAAAGACTTGTTTGTCCCACCACCATTGCATTGTCACCAAATTGGGGTTATGCATCGGAGTTATTCATGTGTTTTAGAAGTATGACATTTGACGTTCAATGTGAGGAAATAGAAATGAAAACTAGATGATATGAGGCACCTCTCAGTAAAGTCTTTATAGTACTCTGAGAAATCTTCCCCAAGCCTATCTGAAGGTTGGCCCGTGACAATCTTGTAGCCACATAGACTATTGGTGGCATTAGGAGTCTACAAGAATAAACGGAAAAGCATAGATCAGAAATAAATTGGATGAAAAAGAAAAAAAAAAAAAATTAAGAAATAAAAAGCTACTTACTTTATGAGCTAAATGGTGAAAGATGTACAACAAACATTCAATGAAAGTAAAGTTTATCTCCTCAACCTTCCTCCGAACCATGTGTTTCTGACAGGAAAACCAGAAGGAGAAATGTAAACAAACAGACCCTGAAATGTCTCTAAACACACAAGAATAAATAGTAGCATGTAACTGACTTCTGAAGAGAAGTTGTGGCCTTATAACCAACAGCTTTCTTAATGAAAAAATCGCTAAACAAAAGGAAAAGTTGCAGACAAGTTATCTTACTGAAAAATTGAAAAATGGAACACATCTAGTTGTTATCGATAAAAAATAATATAAATAAATTACTGAAGGCGGAAAAGGATGAGAAAAGAAAGTATTGCCACATCCTTCCTTCCTTAAAATAACCTGTTACACATCATTTTCAATGCATTACAAGTATACCTTCAGGAGTTGAACAACAGATGGCAGAAGCTGGCGGGAATCCTGTGGTGTAACATAAGGTGAGCATTCGGCAAGGTTCTTGAGCAAGTCTACTTTTCGTTCTTCTGGAAGCTGACAGGGTCAAGCATCATTGGATAAAAAATAAGATCAAATCAAAATAGAAAAAGTATAAGAGCAACACCATGAATTCAAGGCCTTAAATCAACCCAAGAAGTGCCACATGGGTCTTCCAGACTGTCCCCGCAAAAGAAGAGTCCCAACACCCCACCACCGAACCCTCACTGTTAGTTTCTATAGCATAAAGATCTGAAAACACATCCCTCAAAGTCCCATGCCCGCAACAAAAGTCATAAAGAAATCAATAAATGGGGGCAGTGGAGTATAAATAATTAAGTTTTCAGAAGTTTTTGGAAGTTTTTTTTGAAGTTTTTTTAATTTTTACTCAAGTTGGTTGACCAAGTTAAGTTGCCCAGGTTGGTTGACCAAGCCCTCATCAAGAAGCCACAAATAGGTTGATGGCAAATAAATAGTCAAGCCTCCAACAGCTAGTTTTTTTTTTAATTCTTACTGCAGTTTGGTCCACCAAGTAGCTGAGGGTCGATCATGCCACCTAGAATTGGTCTGAGATTATTTGACCACTCCTATGGGTTCCTACCTAGCTCTCGGGAATTTCATTGGTTGACCAGCCTACATGGTTTGGTCAACCAAGTGACCTTACTCCAGCCTTGCTCGACCAACCTCCAATGTGGTTGACCAAGTTGACCTGACTTGGGCCGTTAAGTTCTTTTCTTTGTCTTCTTCATCTCCGCCTTCTCCCATGCATGTTCAAGGCTCTCCAGTGCTTCTAGGCTTCCTAATGTGCTTCCTTTGACATGGGCTTGGTTTCCTACCTCTTGAGGTCACAAACATATGATATGCTATTCTGTATCACTTACATGTTCTAAACGTATATCATGTCAATCCAAATGCCACTACAGATTGTTTCAAATCAGTTTTGTTAATTTCTTTTATTTCAGTTTAGTAGCTAAGAAACTTCATGCAACAGGAAACTATTTGTAACGCCCCAACCGTTCACACATCATCGATAATGTCCGCTTTGGGCCACGCCCGCACAGATTTATTCTTCCCAGTGGGTCACCCATCCCAAAACTACTCCAACCTAAGCACACTTAACTAGGAAGTTCTTAGGCTAGAGTAGTTCTGGGATGAGTGACCCACTGAAAAGAATAAATCCGTGCGGGCGTGGCCCAAGCGGACAATATCGATGACGTGTAAAGGGTGTTAGAAAGTAGATGAGCAATTTTGAACACTGTGATCATGCCAAAGTTACTTCCTTTCTTTTTATAATCCCTCATAAGTGCCCTTCATGATGTACAAGTTTTACATGACCAATACACTTTTCCACTAGGTATCAGATTGGTTGAGTGGGAGCCTCATGCACCAGGCACCCTTTTTTATCAGATTGGTCAAGCCCATCTGAGGTGGTATCTAATACACAAGGCTCCATTGGGACACTCCAGTCTAATCTGTCAGCCAAGAGACCTGCACTTCACTGTATTTTTCCCATACAACCAGTAGCATCATGTCAACAATGCAACCATTTATAGGAATTCACAAGTACATTCAAGCAAGAATATGGAATTCTAATACATTATATTTAAGATAAAAATATGGAACTCTAATACATACTACATTAAGGAGCAAATGAGATACACAACCAACAGATCCCAATATTTAGGGGTTGTTTGGAATGTCCTAAATAAGTGCACTTTTTGACTTTTTGGACTAAAAAGTAGAGAGAAAAAAGATGGTTGTTTGGGATAACTTTTTAACTTTCTACGAAAAAAATGTGTATTAAAATATTGTATAAAATAACAAAATTACTATTTTACCCCTACTATATGTAAATACCTACTGACTTGGATTGTACTGGAAGCCAGTCGGTTGGCAGCAAACATTATAGAAGCAAATTGCCTACAGTCCAAGATCAGACTGTACGGTGCTGGTTCAGCTCGTGGGGACCCACCATAGGTCCTGTTTTGATAATCGAAACTGTTCAATGTGGAGAACTTGTCGACTACTATATACTTGTAAAAAATCAAATTGATTGAATATCGATAGCTATCTGATCAGATTAATTTTTTTGTCAACCATTAATTTCTTCACCGTCCATTTTGTTACACAAAACTGATTTGATCATATAGCTATCGATATTCGATCAACATGATGTTTTACAGGAATATAGTATCCAACAAGTTCTACACATTGAACGGTTCAGATTATCAAAATGAGACCCGTGATGGGTCCCCATGGGCTGAACAGCACTATCCTGTGCAACCTTTTTCGTGCACTGCCGGGTAAAATTTGTAGAATCAGTTGAGAGTGTACCATCACTGCACACTGTCCTGTGTAACAACACTGTCATGATTTTTTATATATATATTTTGTGAATAGTGATAACTTTTTGACTTTTTTAGTAACTTTTTGTCTTATTTAAGACATGCAAGATATCTTAGGAATGTATTTGGCAGGGATTGGATGTTGGTATCCGAGGTTTAGCCTGCAAGGGTCAGCCCAAAGTGGCCTTGCCTTGGAGGGGTTCCACGTCATGAAGAAAAAGTATTTTGCTGGGATTGGATCTTCTTTAGATTCAGATAATAATACAACAAACTTACTAATACAAGAGCTATTTTTCCCTTTTTAAAGTTACTTCATTTGCTACAAAAAGCCTGAGAAGAGTTGCTCATAAGTTGTAATAATACATAGTTATCATTATGATTTATAATGCATTCTTCTATATGATATTTCATTACCAAATGAGGTAACCCATTGAAGTCAATTATCAAGTAATGTAAGTTGGCAAAAACAAAGTTGGGACATTATAAACGTTGGGTCTAGTTCAAATGCGCAAAATGTAGGACAATTACAAACACTACTATTTATTTTAATCTCCAAATAAAATAATTAGTGGAAAGTACTAATTACCTTATCAAAAACAGGTACAATATTCTTGTTCAAATAGTTGAGAAACCTATTACTTGATGCACCCCTCTGGAAACCCAAAAAAAAAAAAGAAAAGTTAAGGTGGACAGATAATCATATAATCCACTAAATTTGGTAAAATTGACTGCAAATACAATTTGTACCGTAAAAAATGGAAGAGCCATATGCAGGCAAGATATTAATCTGTCAATGTGGTCACCATCTGAAACCTGCAGCAGCAACCGTTGTTATACCATATATGCAAGACTGAAAATTTGTCATATTTGTGAATTAAATAACCCACAGAGAAATAGAAAAAGTATGTTGCTTCTATGCATAAATACATACTATAGTTAGTACATCATACTATAGTTAGTACATCAGAGCTTCTGAAGATCTAGAAACAAATTATCTACAAGATCAGTTTTTCCTATATCATATATCAAGCTTTCTTGACTTACTATGCCGAAATTTAGTTTCAAAACGATGATGCTTTTATGTAAGTAAGAACTAAGAACTGAGTCAATATTCAAAATTGCACATGGGATACATGTGAAGGGCCACCTCCAGAGAAACCAAAGGCCACCATCCAAATGGTTTACAGCAAGACCAAACTTGAGAAAACCTCTCCCTAACAATCTATACAAGAGCACAAAGGAGACACCAAAAAGATCACCCTCCTCGTGATGCCTTTTATAATGCTTCTTTGTTACCCCATGACCAATGTAGTATTGCTTGACTTCTTCCATAGCAGCTTCTATGCACCACTACAGTAAAAGACAATATAACTACGAACCCAGAAATAAATCAAGCATGAGAATCCACAAATACCCAACCATATAAAAAATCAAGAAACAAAATTTACCTTCCTTTCCAAAAAGCATTTTGACTCTCCAAAATCACCCCACCGATTACTTTTTCTATAATATCAAACATGATCTTGTGAACACTGCCCACCAAACTGATCAGTCTAAAATTTCTTATGTCCTCTAGTCCTCTCTTTGGAGATTAAGGCAATGAACGATGTAATTAAAGCTCCTCTAAAAACACCCATGCTCAAAATTTAGTGAAAGAACTGCCATCACACCAAAAAATTAAGATGTGAATCTAGTGAAAGTTCAGGGTTCCAAATTAGTCATTTTGTCTTGTTATTTTGAATATTGCATTGTCTCCTGCTAATAATTTTTTGGAAGCTATTTACTTTCTCAAGTACAGTAGGGTGGCAAATTTATGTAGTTGCTCATAGGAAAGAGAAATGGCAAAATTTTCAACACACCAAAACATAGGGTGTGTTTGGTTTGTGTTTTGAGATAAAATTTAAAAAATAAAAATAAAATAAAAATAAAATAAAAATAAAATAAAATTGGGGAGAGAGTTTAGAAATTATTTTGGTTTATTTGGTTGTATATTTTGAAAATAGTTTTGGAATTTGGAAATTTGAGATGATTTGATATTTTGTTGTAGTTGAGTAGATATGTGTGAGAGAAAAAATGATTGAGGAGGAGAGATGAGAGAGAAAAAATGATAGATTGATATGTAATAGAGAGGGAAGTAATTTTGAAATTTTTTTTAAAAAATTAGTAACCAAACATGTTTTTAGAAATTTTCTTCCAAAAACATGTTTCAAAACACAAACCAAACACACCCATAGCCTTCTAAAAGTATACTAAATTTGCATAATAACTTGGTTGCACACAACTAACACATAGAAGCAAGCTAACATTTCATGCTTATTCAATTAAACAATCATACAAGTAGTCCAGCACACAGCAGAGAACAAATGAGCAAAACAAGTCTCATTTTTTTAAGAATAAAATTAAAAATTTGAAAGAACTTATCAAAAAGTACTATTATGATGTCAACACTCACAGTAGCTGGTGTAATATCATCGTAATAAAAGATAAACAAATAATACTCTGTTTACCAGCTTGTCATATATGAGACCAGAAACAAGCACTCACATTAAACTGTGCGCATCTAGATCAGCCTGCCCTTCAATAATTTCAACAAGTTCCTGAACCCGCTCAACAGGAGCATTCTGACCGAATAAACTCAAGCTTCCCAAGAAGTCCATAAACAATTTAAATTCTGCCCCCGTTACATCTTGCAAACTCTGAAACACCACTCAATCAACCTCTCAAAAATATATAAGAACAAAAATGACAAACAAAACAAGGACCCAAAATTTGGCATCCTACTATATAGATGGGAAAATGGAACCAAGTGACCCACCATATTGGCAAAAGATGACATGGCATATAAGCACAAAAAAAATAATTAAAGAATAGAATAGAATAATGAACAAAAGAATTATGAACAGGGTCATACTTTTTTCACCAAATCAGTTATATGTCTCTCCATCTGCTCCTGTGGCTTCAATAGTTCTGCTTTAATTGGAAACACCTGAAAAATTGCAGCAGTTATGGTTCACATATGCCAGGGGGAAATAAGGAACTAATAAAAACATTAGGAAATATCTCACCTTATCCCTGATAAAGCATAAAACCTTTTCACGAATGCTTTCCACGGTGCTAGGCTCATAAATAATTTCCTCGGTGCTAGGCTCATCAGTGTTCCCAACATGCTTAAACAAAACTGTTAAGGAAGCTGCACCAAACAGATAAACTAAGATGCAACAACTGGACAACAAAAAAGTGTCATGGTATATAGCTTCATTATGAGAATTGCACAAAGATAGCCTGGCTGATGAGTTATAAAGTACAACAAAATAACACAGCCCAGATCAAGCATGGATTAGGTGAGCTATAAGTGAAAAAGCAAGTGACAAATGTATAACAAATGTAGTTCAAAAAAAATGTATTAAAAATGTGAAACTAATTCTAAGTAATGCTGATATGCAGTACTTTAGGTAGATTGAAGCCTATACACAAAAGCAATCACAAAGAACAATGTCATAGTATCATCTAATATCAAAGCTTGTTTATTATCAACACCCACCATATTCTTATTAAGCCATCCCTACTTCAAGCAAAAGCTACAAAGCTGAAACTGCATATAAGTCTCCTCAGACTACCAATTTTGTAGAATGGATCCCGAAGAACATGCTTCCTGAAGAATAACTATCGACTTCAACAGTACCTGCCAGGTCGAGGAATGTCTAAAGGATGGAAACACCCCTATCCAAAGCAAAGGTAACCACTCCTCTCCAACCCCTAATATAAATAAATCGAGTCTTTAAACTCAGTAGAAAATCAAGGGGCTCGTCAACCCTTAGTAGCAAGAAACTTCAACTAAGGTGACGTTTCTTACTCAGAATCTCAATTCCACTCCTAAGTAAGAAACTTATAAGAAACTTGCTCCCGTCAAAGAAGAAACTTGCTCACAACTGAGATAGATCCTCTTAAGTATATAAATCTCAAGGAAAAACATCTCAAACTTGTCATAGTATTTCGTATTTACATAATATTTGTTTATACTTAACAGAGACAATTTGTTGCTGATGTCAACCTCTAATATCTATTCATATTTTTAACACTTACAACTAAAAAGTAAAAAAATGTGTTAGAACAAATTTGTATATTTAATATATAAAATATATACACACTCCCATAGGCACTCCCATCCTTAAAAACTTCTATATGCCCTTGCTCCCCTGCCAAAGCCCAGGCTTCATGCAAATAAGTGCCAACCTTGATATCAGAACACGAAGAATCCATCATGAGACCTTTGTTCTTCAACTTTTTTTTATAAATAAATAATTTTAATAGAAAAGCATCCAAAGGGGATGCCACCCAGACACAAAACACAAAAAACAAATCTTCAAAGGCAGCCAAACAACTAAAAATCTAAACAGTTCTTATACGTCCATAGTCTCTATTCAAAGATTGTCCAAGGTGCAAATGCACTCTCCCCAATAACTAGCTAGACAGGCCAAAAAGGAACCCTTCAATCTATACAATGGTTGCTCTATACCCTGAAAGGTCCACCTATTGCGCTCTCCCCAAATAATTCACATCAAGCAACAAGGGACCAATGACCATGATATAGAACAGCTTTAGGAAACAAGGACTAATGTTGCCTACAAGTGGAATTGTGGCAAGTTTAGGATAGGAATGAATTCTAAGGTTAGGGTTCTAAAAGTGGAAGAAGGCTTCAAGGGTTTATCGATAGAAAAGATGAGTTTTGGCTTATTTTCAAAAGTTGGAAGTTAATGTATTTTCAGAATTAGAGCGACTAAAAGCCCTAGAGGCTAGACTGCAGCTAGTTTATCGTTTTATTGTTTTATTTCCAAACATGAAAAATGAAACTCCAAAAACAAAATCAAACAGTTACAAAAATGTTCCACGTGGGATTAAAAATGTTTAATTTCCTTTTTATAGGTAAGCTATTTAAATTTTAAAAACATTTAATTTCTATAAATAAATACCATTAGGAATCTTGACAATTTGAGCAGCAGATACACATCTAGAGCAGGTGACCCCAAAAGGAAAACGGAAACAAAACAAAGAAGCTGTGCAGCCACAACCAAGGTCAACCTTGAACTTAACAAGTAGAACCAGATGCAATAGCCCATCACATAAAATAAATACAACAAAAAGGAATAATTGGGAGAAAAAAAATTAGTAAGGAACCTTGTTACCAGTAGCTCAAAACGGACTCCATCTTTTGACAGTAAAAAGGCATCTTCAATCTGTCTATCATTTTTTCCTTTCAGATGTAATAAAGATGAATTCTTTATAACTAAAAAGTCAAACATGATGGCAGCATTCTTCGAGCTTTTGTAGGTGGCAAAGTTGTAGAGTTTATCCATTTTGATATTTTAATGTGACTTCTATTTTTCACTGATTTGCTTCTCTTTTTTTAATTTCATTTTACTGTATGACACATTGAATTATATAAGCCACTACAAATAAGCAAATATTAATTGCCCACCTAAGACTGAGTTACACAAGGCACAACAATACAAAAAACAAATTTTGTCCTAGCACTGAAGTATAACCAAGCAAAAATTCTAACCTAATCATGTAATCTGTCAGACATTAATCAAGTGACATCATTGAAACTCCTAGGATTGTTTTCCCAGTAGCCAAATCCAACTCCATTAGTAAAGAGATGCAGTAATAAATATATGAACGGAACAAAATGTAACAAGCATAATATGGTCATTATACAATAGATCTTTATACGATTAAGAATTGTGCATAAGTGGGGTCAGAATGTTAAATAATTAAAATTTACATGAAGACTTCAATTTTCTAGCCATCACAGAAAAACTCACTCTTTATGTCCCGTCGCAACAAAGTCATTAGGGCTTTATGTACTGCATCTCGCTCCACAGTTTCTCCTAGAAACATCATGGAGATTTAGCATATGGCAACAAGCAATTAAATGAGTTATAAAAGGCACAAAACCTTGAAGAATATACTACCCGCTGGGAGGAGCAGCAGCCCCAAAGCATCAACAATTCTAGGCAGATGTTCTGGATTTTCCTTGCAAAGAAGCGGAAGTCCACGAATTGCATGCACCCTCACCTTCAGCAATCAACAAACGAAAGATAGAAACCCAATTGTAATTAGAAATTTTAGGCTCCCTTTGGATAAGTGGATTCCAAATAAAGGGGTTTGATGTTGAATTTTATGAAATTATAAGAAGATTAGTTATTGAAGGTAGATGATAACTCTAAAGAGAGGATTGAATAGAAGTATGTTTCAATGTATGTTGTTAAGATTGTTATACAACTAGAACCTTTTATGAATGATTTCAAACAACTATTATAAAGCTCTCAAATCCGTTCTTGATATCTAAATTTAAAATATTACTTTGATATCAAATCCATCCATTTCATTTCAAATCCATAAATCCAAAGGGAGCCTTAATGTAATAGCCAAAATACTCCACATAATTAGGTTCCCCGTTTATCCATCAATGCGATCGGAACAAAACAACCCAATGATTGGGAAGAAAAAAACAACTTGCTTTAAATGTGGAGGCACAGCAATTCATCATTTGATATGCATAATCACTAAGTTGGGTATATTATAAGTAAATTTAATATGAATGTATGAAAACAGGGAGATACTAACCCCAAGCTCGTCATCCTCGCAAAGCTCTAAATGTCGATTGAGAGCTCTGTCGGAGAGGGTTGGGAAGTACTTGAAAAACTTGGGAACAAGCTGTGCAGCCAATTGCTTGACCTTAACACTTCCTTCTTCAGTAGCTTTGAGTATGGCCTCATAGTCACTGGCATGCTAAAACAGTAAACACACCCCCAAAATAAACAATGAAACCCTAAGAATGCAAAACACTGAAGGGGGGAGGGAGAGAGAGAGCGAGATCTGCTAACTTGGAACTTGTCTTTGGCATCGTTGAGGCGTTCGCCGTACTCGTAGAGCTTTTCGACGTCCGGCGAATCATCGGAGGTTTCGGCCATTGAAGGTGAGAAAGAACAAAGAGGTTTGTGCAATATCGAACGATGACGAAAACGGAAAAAATGGGGGGAGGAAAGTAGGGTTTGGCGAAGAGGTTACAAGTTTGTTAGGGAAAAGAGAGAGAGAGAGAGAGAGAGAGAGAGAGCGCTCTGAGGTAAAGTTTTGAAGTGGAGACTGTAGACTGTTCTGTCTCAATCTACGAGAAGGCGGTTTTTGCAAATGGCCTTTTTGTTTCACTGGTTAGGTTGCATGGAATTGTGGATATGGTGGAATTTAGGCTCGTTTAAAAGTTAATAATTTATACTAAAAAGTTAAAGGTTCTGTTTGGTTGTGAATTCAAATCAATTTTTAATACGTGAGCTTGCGCATGACGTTTGGATATGATGTTTAAAAGTTGATTTTGCGTGTTAATTCAAATTACAATTTGAAAATCCGTTTGGCATCTTGTAGTTCAGTTCTCCGCTTTCAACGTGTCTGTCTTCTTCCTCTTTTTCTCTTAATCTGATAAATAAATTCTTCATCTATTATATGCAAATGATTTCAGACGAGTCGAAATCAGTTCTCAAATCTTTGGTGAGAAGTGTAGTCGACTATTTTTTTTTTGTTTCAGATGCTTTCCGATTTTCCCGAACTGTTTCAACCTTTTCCCCACTAATCTGGTAAATCAATCTTCATCTGTTATGTATAAATGATTTTAGAGAAGTTGAAATCAGTTCCCAAATGATTTCTGAGAATTTGTAGACGAGTTTTTTTCATTTCAGATTTGTTGGTATTTTAAACTCCGAACTGTTCGAACCTTTGCACGAAGAAAACCTGAGGCGCAATACCTAGGACACCCGGCCGGTCATCCCCCGGGTCATCCCACCGGTCGTCCCCCAGGTCATCCCACCGGTCATTCCTTCCTGCCAACTTCTCTATTTTGAACTGTTTGATATTATGCACGAAGAGAACTATTTGAACCTTTATTTTAAAATGGAAAAATTATTATGGAAAAACAATTATTCAAAAAAAATACTAAAAAAAAATTAATTGACAAAAAAAATCAATTTTTAATTTCAGTATTTTAAAAATAGTTTGGTTATTATTGTTGATAAAAAAATATGGATATCGATATATGAGTTGTGTGTTTGATGATAAATTATTGGTTGAATTAAGTTTTGAAAACTATTTTCAAAACACATCACCAAACAAATTTTCACATTTCACATGTCACATCAAACTTTTAAAACTTAATTCAAAATACATCTTCAAAACACAATTCAACACTCTATTTAAAAATCATAACCAAACAAATTTTCTACACTCAAATCATAATTCTACAACCTACAAACTCAAAATACAACTCATACTCTCAAATCACATTTACAAAATACAACCAAACGCAGGCTATATGATTTTAATATTTTCATTCCATCTAAATAATTACAATGGCAAGGGTTAGTGTAATTTTCTACACATCAAGGAGTGATGTATATTAAATTCAAATTTCAGAATGTGTAAGTATAATTTACCATTGTTAAAATATTGAGGGGTTATTTACGTAGACACTCCTAAATTATTATTGAATAGTATTACTTTGACATTTTAAATTATAAAAATATATAAATTAATTTTTAAATCATGGTGAAGTATCACTTTACCTCTTAAATTATAATGTACTCTCAAATTAGGGTTTGGTTATGGTGTGCAACTTACACCTTACACCTTATACCTTACACTTACACCTTACACTTACACCTTTTGTAAAAAATTAAACCTTACACTTACACCTTTTTTGAGGTTGCACACCATGTGCAACCCACTTATACCTTACACCTTACACTTACACCTTACACTTACACCTTATACTTATACTTACACCTTACACTTACACTTTTTGTGTAAGTGGCACATGGTGTGCACTTGCACACTTAAGAAAACTCCCTCAAATTATTGTCGTATGCCACTTTGATCCATTTCATTAAGGAGTTAATTTTATACGTTTTTATAATTTAGATAGTCTATTTGTACATTTTTATAATTTATGGGGTAAACTAATAATTGTCAATAATTTAAGGGTTCATATATAAGTTTTTATAGTTTAAGGAGTTGAAGTGATATTTCTCAATAATTTAACAGGTCGTCGTGTAAATAATCCAAAGTGTAACTTACAAATTTAGGCTAAATTTAGTAATTTAAATTGTTAATTTTATGCAACTAATTAAGAAAATTACATACGCAAAAAATTAAGTTAATTCAATATTAATTGTCATAAATTAGATCATTTTTATTTATAGGGCTAACATGTTGTTAAAGAATAAATTGTTTATGTATTATAATACTATGTAAAAAAGGCTCGTGCAAAATACAGGATATTGTTACTGTATATTTAAGTTTTGTATTTTGATAATTTTTTTAAAAATATGAATATTATTCTATGAAATTGAATAGAATAAATCATTAGATATATGATAAAATTATATAAATTGTATTATAAATAATAGAAACTAGAAAAAAATAATAAGTTTTACAATTTTAACATAATTATACTTTTTCTTTTGTATAAGTTCATATATTTTTAACATTCAAGTGTTTGTTCATGACTACTTGTGCTATTATCTAAATCCATGTCAACTTCAAATAGTTACCAAACTAATTATGGTAGCAGCAAAAAAAAATTTTATAGCTCGACTTCTTCTTCTAATAATTTTTTGTTTCATATAAGTGTCTACCAAGAGGAAGTTTGAAAGAAGGGAGGCTAATGGAATATTCTGGAAACTCCTGGAGGACTCGGAAAAATATGAAAATATGGTACTGTGTGAGTGATTTTTCGATCACACTGCCAACTGAGTAATCAGCTAGAGAGAACTGGCAAAACAGATGACACCTGGTTGACCTGTAACAAAAATAGAAGATTCCGACGGTGGTTCGTCCACCCGGGGGCACTCCGACGATCAAGTCAGTATATCTCTCAAAGATAATCAATTGTGCTTAACTTACTGTTCAGAATCTAAATTGCGTATCTTAGACCCATCAAGGTTGCCTTTCTTTTATAGTCAACACAATCCTAGTCCCAATAGAAGCCTAGCTCTAGTGGACTCTTGCTCAGTTCTTATCCTGAACTCTCCAACAGATAAAGATAAACTCCCTAGGAGTGTTATCCTTATCCATGCTCAAGTCCTTCCTTATTCTTAGACTATCATCCCTTATCCGCTTATCTCGGATTTCGATATCTTCGAAGATAACCTCAGCTTTGCCGAGATCACCTCGACATCATGACCTAGACACGTGGCACCTCAACTAACACGTCGATGTCACCTTGGCCACGTGTTGGCACTCAGAAAATATATCCCCACAATTGCCCCCTAGGTTCTATTACCTCGGTATTCTGAGGTGATGGAACCTATATCAGACTTACTATCATTATGTCGGCTTAACATATCTCAATTGAGATCTTCATCCAGACCGTCATGCCTTTGACAGAACAAGAATTTCCAAGTGGTTTTTCATGCGTATGAGCTGTCGTACATGACAACTCAACTGTTTTTAGCCACACGTCTTTTTCTCATTAGACCGTACTAGATACGCGCCTGTAAATTGAATCATCCTCGCGTGCGCCGTCTAATGCATACGTTTTTCTAGGCACATTAATAACCCATTTGCCGCCATTTCTGTGTTTTAACAAAAATCATTTCCCCCTCTTCCATCTTTTCACTTTTTCCTATCGTTTCTGAGGCTTTCTCTCTCTCTAGCTCTTTCAAACCTTCCATTGTTTCAAGCTTTTAACCTCTGCCATCGCTGTTGTTCACCTCTTCCGGCGTGGTTTTCACCGATCCTCCACCTTGACCGCCGTCGTCAGACTTCGGCAATCCCCATTCCAGCTTCCCTCTTTCTGGTAAGCCACTATTCCGCCTGGTTTCAGTTTCTTGTTACCTTACTGAACTTTACTGTTTTACCTGCTATCTTTGCAATCTTGTTCATAGTTTTGATATTTCACCTTGTATCTTGTATTCCACCGTATATTTGGACATGTTTGTGTCATGATTCTGTTTTTACCCAAATCATCTTCTTGAATGTATACTGTTCATACACTGTTCATACAATTCTTACACTCAAACACTCTCTCCCTTCTCTCTATCCATCCTTAGGTGTGTGCTAACTTGACCGTCGGAGGGTTTTTCCGGCCACACATCGCCGGGTAGCTCACCATTACTTGCTCGCAGGTGATTGGACATCGACGGAGCTCGGAAGAAAGGAGTACGGGCTTGCCGGAATATTTGCTCCCTGTACAGGAATAACGCATTAAAACTGTGAGTTTTAAGCCCACTAAACAGTGGCAAAACCATATTTCCTAAGCCCACTTGAGGGTGGCAAAATTCATGTCTTAGCCTACTTGCGGGTAGCATCATCTTCACCTACTCTCCACCTACTCCCAAATCCTCTCCTATATAATTGGAATCCTTGTAATATACATATAAGATACATCAATCAATAATACATCAATTTTAACAAGTAGCTGAAAACGGACTCCATCTTTCGACAGTAAAAAGGCATCTTCAATCTGTCTATCATTTTTTCCTTTCAGATGTAATAAAGATGAATTCTTTATAAGTAAAAAGTCAAACATGATGGCAGCATTCTTCGAGCTTTTGTAGGTGGCAAAGTTGTAGAGTTTATCCATTTTGATATTTTAACGTGACTTCTATTTTTCACTGATTTGCTTCTCCTCTTTTAATTTCATTTTACTATATGACACATTGAATTATATAAGCCGCTACAAATAAGCAAATATTAATTGCCTGCCTAAGACTGAGTTGCACAAGGCACAACAATACAAAAAACAAATTTTGTCCTAGCACTGAAGTCTAACCAAGCAAAAATTCTAACCTAATCATGTAATCTGTCAGACATTAATCAGGTGACATCGTTGAAACTCCTAGGATTGTTTTCCCAGTAGCCAAATCCAACTCCATTAGTAAAGAGATGCAGTAATAAATATATGAACAGAACAAAATGTAACAAGCATAATATGGTCATTATACAATAGATCTTTATACGATTAAGAATTGTGCATAAGTGGGGTCAGAATGTTAAATAATTAAAATTTACATGAAGACTTCAATTTTCTAGCCATCACAGAAAAACTCACTCTTTATGTCCCGTCGCAACAAAGTCATTAGGGCTTTATGTACTGCATCTCGCTCCACAGTTTCTCCTAGAAACATCATGGAGATTTAGCATATGGCAACAAGCAATTAAATGAGTTATAAAAGGCACAAAACCTTGAAGAATATACTACCTGCTGGGAGGAGCAGCAGCCCCAAAGCATCAACAATTCTAGGCAGATGTTCTGGATTTTCCTTGCAAAGAAGAGGAAGTCCACGAATTGCTTGCACCCGCACCTTCAGCAATCAACAAACGAAAGATAGAAACCCAATTGTAATTAGAAATTTTAGGCTCCCTTTGGATAAGTGGATTCCAAATAAAGGGGTTTGATGTTGAATTTTATGAAATTATAAGAAGATTAGTTATTGAAGGTAGATGATAACTCTAAAGAGAGGATTGAATAGAAGTATGTTTCAATGTATGTTGTTAAGATTGTTATACAACTAGAACCTTTTATGAAAGATTTCAAACAACTATTATAAAGCTCTCAAATCCGTTCTTGATATCTAAATTTAAAATATTACTTTGATATCAAATCCATCCATTTCATTTCAAATCCATAAATCCAAAGGGAGCCTTACCGTAATTGCCAAAATACTATAGATAATTATGTCCCCCATTTATCCATGAGGATTGAATAGAAGTATATTGCATGTATTTTGTTAAGAACATTAGCCAATTAGAATCTTTTATGGAATGAAGATTACAAATAACTATTACAAAGCTCTCAAATCCATTCTTGATATCAAAAATTAAAATATTATATTGATGTCAAATCCATTCATTTCAAATCCATAAATCCAAAGGGAGCCTTAATGAAATAGCCAAAATACTCCACATAATTAGGTTCCCCGTTTATCCATCAATGCGATCGGAACGAAAACAACCCAATGATTGGGAAGAAAAAAAACAACTTGCTTTAAATGTGGAGGCACAGCAATTCATCATTTGATATGCATAATCACTAAGTTGGGTATATTATAAGTAAATTTAATATGAATGTATGAAAACAGGGAGATACTAACCCCAAGCTCGTCATCCTCGCAAAGCTCTAAATGTCGATTGAGAGCTCTGTCGGAGAGGGTTGGGAAGTACTTGAAAAACTTGGGAACAAGCTGTGCAGCCAATTGCTTGACCTTAACACTTCCTTCTTCAGTAGCTTTGAGTATGGCCTCATAGTCACTGGCATGCTAAAACAGTAAACACACCCCCAAAATAAACAATGAAACCCTAAGAATGCAAAACACTGAAGGGGGGAGGGAGAGAGAGAGCGAGATCTGCTAACTTGGAACTTGTCTTTGGCATCGTTGAGGCGTTCGCCGTACTCGTAGAGCTTTTCGACGTCCGGCGAATCATCGGAGGTTTCGGCCATTGAAGGTGAGAAAGAACAAAGAGGTTTGTGCAATATCGAACGATGACGAAAACGGAAAAAATGGGGGGAGGAAAGTAGGGTTTGGCGAAGAGGTTACAAGTTTGTTAGGGAAGAGAGAGAGAGAGAGAGAGAGAGAGCGCTCTGAGGTAAAGTTTTGAAGCGGAGACTGTAGACTGTTCTGTCTCAATCTACGAGAAGGCGGTTTTTGCAAATGGCCTTTTTGTTTCACTGGTTAGGTTGTATGGAATATGGTGGAATTTAGGTCTCATTTAAAAGTTAATAATTTATACTAAAAAGTTGAAGGTTTTGTTTGGTTGTGAATTCAAATCAGTTTTTAACACGTGAGCTCGCGCATGACGTTTGGATATGATGTTTAAAAATTGATTCTGCGTGTTAATTCAAATTATAATTTGAAAATCTGTTTGGCATCTTGTAGTTCAGTTCTCCGCTTTCAACGTTTCTGTCTTCTTCCTCTTTTTCTCTTAATCTGATAAATAAATTTTTCATCTATTATGTGCAAATGATTTCAGACGAGTCGAAATCAGTTCTCAAATCTTTGGCGAGAAGTGTAGTCGACTATTTTTTTTTTGTTTCAGATGTTTTCCGATTTTCCCGAACTGTTTCAACCTTTTCCCCACTAATCTGATAAATCAATCTTCATCTGTTATGTATAAATGATTTCAGAGAAGTTGAAATCAGTTCCCAAATGATTTCTGAGAATTTGTAGACGAGTTTTTTTCATTTCAGATTTGTTGGTATTTTAAACTCCGAACTGTTCGAACCTTTGCACGAAGAAAACCTGAGGCGCAGTACCTGGGACACCCGGCCGGTCATCCCACCGGTCATCCCCCAGGTCATCCCACCGGTCATTCCTTCCTGCCAACTTCTCTATTTTGAACTGTTTGATATTATGCACGAAGAGAACTATTTGAACCTTTATTTTAAAATGGAAAAATTATTATGGAAAAACAATTATTCAAAAAAAATACTAAAAAAAAATTAATTGACAAAAAAAATCAATTTTTAATTTCAGTATTTTAAAAATAGTTTGGTTATTATTGTTGATAAAAAAATATGGATATCGATATATGAGTTGTGTGTTTGATGATAAATTATTGGTTGAATTAAGTTTTGAAAACTATTTTCAAAACACATCACCAAACAAATTTTCACATTTCACATGTCACATCAAACTTTTAAAACTTAATTCAAAATACATCTTCAAAACACAATTCAACACTCTATTTAAAAACCATAACCAAACAAATTTTCTACACTCAAATCATAATTCTACAACTCACAAATTCAAAATACAACTCATACTCTCAAATCACATTTACAAAACACAACCAAACGCAGGCTAATATTTTGAGACGGAGAGAGTATAAAATTTCGTAACATCAATTATACAATGAGTAATCTCGCCACAAATTAGAGTAGTAAAATGTCCAAAATTTTGTGGGGGTTGTCACAAAAGTTTGTGACTTGATCACGATATTTTTTGTTACTGTAATTTGTAATGAAGATACGCATTTTATGATTAATATTATATAATTTTGTGATAAAATTATACCAATTTATAATAGAGTGCATATAAAGGACTGCATAGGCTTTCCCTAAATGTGTGATTTAAATTTAACATTAAGAGTTTGGCTTTAACTTGAGAGAGAGAGAGAGCGTTTAAATTTGGTAGTTCTATTTTGAGATTAATTTTGATTATTTAAATTGTTCATTTTTTAAGATTTATTGAAGCCCCGTTTAGGAAGAGAGGTTTGGAGCTTTTTTGGCTAAAATAGCCACAAAAAACAAAATAGGCT